TGTATGCATGTAAGACGCTGAAAGTGGGCATCTGGGTAAGTCCTCCTAATTTCTCTATCATATGCATGTTCCTGTTGCATTGTCCTTATATAATCCAAGTTAAAAGTCTCCTATACAGAAATGCTTGTTTTGATTGATTTTTACAAGTATTGTTTATTTTAGTTTATGTTTAAGGCCATGGATTGCCAAAAATTCACTTTTAATGAAAAATCAGTTTTTATGAAATATATGGCTTTATTAATTCAATCTAAAATAAATGATACTCATTTTTATTCAAATCACATAGCTAAGTTAGTTAAGGTTTTAGGTCTAAAAATGAATTTATGTGATTAATTAACCACTAAAATCATAAAATAGAAAGTGAGTAAAGGCCAATTTTTGGATTGGGCAAAAGGGATGCTTCCATATAAATGGCCTTCCGTTTTTGTACTGAAGCTCCTGAACCCAAAATTTTCTTGGTTATGATGGATTAGCCCTTAACTTAGTTTTCATCGTTAAAGGTTTCTTGATTCCCATTTAAAAATTAAATGGCAACTCTTTATTTGTTAATGCAAGTCAGTGTGGGAAGTAATGCCTCGAAAAAGGCATGGCGCCCACATCGTCGATGTTTGTTTAGGACGGAGGAGTGGTGGCAGCGTGGAAGGGAGGCATAAGGGTTGGGTCAGGCTACGGTGATGAGTGTGGTGAATGAGGGGCTTAGGGTAACTGTGAGGGACTAGGGCAATGGGAAGGGGGTGACCGAAGGGAAAATGGAGGGTTGGGGAAGGGATTGCAGTGGCGGAGGGAGGGATAGGGCTAGTTCGTGATGGTGGTGGCCGGCGGAGTTGTAGAGATGCAGAGAGAAGAGAGGATGAGTTTAGGTAAGAGAGGAGAATAGAAAGGGTGAGTTCTGATCTATAAATCAAAATTTGGGGCCAAAATGTAATTTTTTTAAACTTTTTCCATTTAAATTTGATGGTAGAGGGCAAATTGTTCTCAATTTAAATAGGTTAGGGGGTAAATTGACAATATCAAAAGTTTGGGTGTGAAATTGATCAAAGAGGTATAGTTTGGGAGGGAAAATGAATTTTTCTCAAATTTTTACCCACTCAGTTTTGAAATTACTATTAATCGATTAATTCTATTGCAATTAATTTGGAGAATAAGCTAATTACAATTGTGCGCACACACACACATGGAAGAGCCAAGGAATTTTCAGCTCAATTAATTTCTTCAGGATCGACTTGAGTTCATTTGAGACATAAAGAGAAGATAGTTAACTTATGAATATAAACAAGATACGAATAAGGTAGTATCTATCATAAATAACAAATTATATATGCATATATATATTTAAAACGGTCCAGTTCGGTTTCAAATCAAAACCATAACGATAAACCAGGGACCGAACATAAAATACAATTTGCTTGTTTTAAAAATTAGAACCGAGTCATGCATTGAAAAAAATTAAATCAAACCATATGATTTAATCTGAATTGAACAGGTTTGTAATTTTTTCATTTTTTTTTCTTAGCCTTACAAATAAGCAATTCTTAAACACCTTGATAATAAAAAATAGAATAAAAAAACTACTAAGAAATCTAAAAAACTAAAACGTTACTAAATAACCCAAACCACCTCCTAATTGATTAAAAAAAACAAGAAGCCTAATCTTCATAATAGCTTTCACAGAAATTCTACACTTTTCAGTAAGGGTGAGTAACGGATATTTTGATCCATCCAAATTGCCTGAACCAAACCGATCCGTTGCATTTTGGACAGATGCGTAATAACAAGCGGACGGTTGCAGATTGATTTTTTTTAATCCACCTAATTTTGGATGGATGGTGGATTTGAGGTTCTTTTGGCCGCAATTGAACCGCCTAACCGTGAATACCCCTAATAATTTGTAAGACTTTGTGTTTTCAATTTGTTTATATATTCTATTTGTGTTTTCAATTGAAAAAGAGTTTAGATATTCTGTTATGTTTTCAATTTGTTTTTAATTTGGAAATCCTTTTATCAAATGACAAGCATTGGTATTTGATATTTTTGCGTGAAAAATATAAGGCTTAATTTTGTCATTTTTAAAAAAAATCAAATTAAATAGTTTTTGAAAAAAAAAAAAGCAATGAAATAGTTTTGATAATGCATGATTTTCTTATATGTATTTATTAATGGTATTTGACAATTTACTTGATAATCTTTTGGTTATCTTGAGTTGGATTATTATCCCCCAAAAAAATGTTGATAAATTGTTGTATTATGTTCAAAATTTGTAAAAGTTTAAACTGCGAAACCGATTCGTATCCATCCGCCAATCTGCCAATCCGTATCTGTCAATTCGATAGGTAGATGCAGATTGATTTTTTCTAATCCGCCTATTCGGCAGACAAATGGCGGATTAGAGGTTCCCTAACTGCAACCAAACAACGAACACCCCTACTTTTCAGGAGTGCGTATCATATGCTATTTACCACAAAAATATATAATTTTATTACAAAATTTCTTAACATCAATCATAAAATGTAAAATTTTGTCACAAATTAAAATAATAAAATATTTAAAATTTTGTAGTTAATATTGTAAAAGTTTATACTTAGGTTACACTCTTTTTTCTTTTTTTTTTTTTACGTCAACTTGTGACGAAATTACGTATTTTGTGATTGATATTATAAAATTTTATAATAAAATTATACATTTTATACTAAAATAAATATAATATGTACTCCTTTAAAGATGCACATTATAGCAGTTCCCTTAAATTCACACAACAAAACTTTATTGGGGCAATTCAACCAAAAATTACAATTTATATTATATGATGACTTTGTAATCATGTCGGCCCTTAGTTCAGCCCCTAAGGTGGCCTAGTAACTTACATTCATTAGTGACAATAAGGCTCCATAAACTTTTATTATTGTAGACATTCAGATTCACACTACAGGAAAAAAGGGTTATGGTGGCATTTTTTTAACGACGTTTTTTTAAACGTCATTGTTATTAACATTTAACGGCGTTTTATAAACGCCGCATATTCTTTTAACCAAAACGGCAGCGTTTTATAATAGGAGGCGTTGAAAAATGCCTCCGAATGCGGTATACCACACACGCCTTTTCAATCCTTATTTTGTATCTGGCCCTCTCTCAACCCATACGCATACATCATTTTGAATCTGGGCCCTCTCTCTCTCTCTCTCTCAACCCTCTCTAAGCTCCATCGAAGCAATTTCGAAGCTCCATTGAAGCTCTAGATCGAACCGATTTCGAAGCTCCGTTGAAGATTCAGTGACTTGCAACGAAGATTCAGATATTCAAAGCTCCATCGAAGCAATTTCGAAGCTCCATCGAAGCTCCAGATCGAACCGATTTCGAAGCTCCGTTGAAGATTCAGTGATTTCCATCGAAGATTCAGATATTTAAAGCTCCATCGAAGCAATTTCGAAGCTCCATCAAAGCTCCAGATCGAACCGATTTTGAAGCTCCATCGAAGCTCCAGATCTGAACTCTGACCCCTCGATTACTCACATTTCAAGCTTAAATCGGTACTCTCTCTCTCTCTCTCTCTCTCTCTCTCTACATGAAGCTACATAAATAGAAAGTTTCATTTTCAAGATTTCATAGAAATCGTCTACATGAAGCTAATATAAACATGATGGAAAATTTAGAGTTATATTTTATGCCTCTGTTTCTGTGTGCTGCTCTGTTCTGCTGTATATGTGCCTCTGTATCTATGTGCATAGTGAAAATAGTGAAAAGGAACCATTATCTGGAACTGTTCCTGCGAGACGGTTGTTTGATAGATCCCTGCATAACAATGCAATACAAGAACATCACATGTGAGAGAGAGGGGAAGGGGGGGAGGGAAGTTCCACATCAAGAAATAATGAGACAACTTGGTACTCACAATACTTGCAGTAATGAGATATTAGTCAATGACATATGAACTTTGATCTTCGATTCATGAATTTTGGGAATTAAATTTTGGAGAGTAGCATGGTTTCTTTATTAAATATTCATACCCCTTGAGAAGGGAACATTTGTCTAGTTCTTTTCATGGTTCATTTCTTTCAACTGAAGGGATCTCTCCAACTGCAGGAATTAGTCTGGAGGTACCAAATAAATGTATTTCAAGCTAAATCATGAAATAATGTTTCATACATGAACTAATTTTTGAGCATGGAAATTGGACCATGTATGGATATCCACCAATATAAGCATGTTCTCCCCTAGTAAATATAGTCGTCTTCCCCCACAAAACTTGACTTTGACAGTGGCAGAGGCTAGTGATATTATCTGTATGAGGGATTTTGATTTGTGATGCAGATTTTCTTTTGTATGATTGTGCAGGTTGTTTTCTAAATCTTATATTTGAAGCATGCCAAAGTTACATTTGAAGTAATAGTGGGCTAATAAAAGCTTCAATTTCTACCGCATAGGTTTTAAAGTACACAGAAGGCCTGTGTTGGGTTATGCACTATTACTATAAAGGAGTTTGTTCCTAGCAGTGGTAATTTTTTCTTCTTTACTTTGGGCAATATTCATATTCTTGAATGCATTTCTGTGTCTGTGTTTATGTCTATCAATGTATCTGTCTATCCCTGTGGATTCATGAAGAGAATACTAGTATATTTAGCCTTGTCCATGTAGTACATCTATATATAATATATGTATTCACAAATTATATTAAACATTTATAATTAAGGCATGTATGGTGGCACTTGTTTAAAGGATGTGTTATGTATAGACACATCTAATTGAGAATGTGTGTTTTGCACTGAGCTCAAATTATTGCACATGGCTCTCAATTGTTAATTTAAATGGTATTCTTCACACAATGGGGTGTCTACACCCATGAATTTAAAATAGATACCTTTCGGTATTCGTATGTTCTATTCGACAGCACAAATAAGTTGTTAAGCATTTTTTGTGTTCTATGATCCAAGTCTCATGATTCATGGGCTAGTCTATATATACGAGTTTGTTCTGCTTGAAAAACAACTGCTTTAAAACATTGGAAGGTAGTTAAAAAATGCTCTAAGAGATTAAATGCTCTTGGTGGTGGTGGTGGTGGTGGTGGTGGTGGAAATTTAGTGATGATGCTTTCATGTGCTCTTAGTATTTGTAAAATAGTGTTGGTGGAGAAGCAATATAACTGGGTAAGTACTTTCAGTAGAAACAGTACTTGTGTCATATGTTCAATAAAACTACCAATGTATGGGTGTCATGATTGCATTAGAATTCCAATCTACAAAGATACATAGTTCTATTGATCAGACTTACCAACCTTAATTAACTACTTCATGGCAGTTGCTTTGCATTTGGTGGAACCCAAGTTGAAGTTGGAAGTTGGAACAACTAAAAATGAGAATATAACATAACATTGAGAAAGTACGAGAAAAAATGCGAAAATTGAGTAAACAAATCATTCATGCATTTTCAGCAGCAAAAGCTTTTCCTTATGTCTTGGAGGGTTTGCGTTCCAGAAACAATCGAACTCGGATTGAGTGTGTGGATCTTGTTGGATTTTTAATTGATAACCATGGAGCAAAGGTAAAATATGGAATGCTATTTGATCTTTTTTCTTCTTTGAAAGGTACTGAGTCTTCTATAATTTGCCTACAGATTATGGGACAGTTGAAATCCTTGCAGCTTGTTGCAAGCCTAACAGCAGAACGAGATGGTGAAATTCGGAAGGCTGCTTTAAATACTCTAGCTACAGGTTATAAGATCTTTGGTGAGTTCTGCTCTTATCAAGCTGTAGACTTTATTTGCTATTTGGTTTCTTGGAATACACAAGGGCTTGAAGTTTTGTCAGGCCCGAGACATGGACAAAAAGAATGAAGGAAAACCTGGAGAAGCAAGGGCTTGAAGTTCTGCTCTTAGAAATGCATCAGTTCTGCTCTTAGAAAATTCAAGTTTGATTTTAGTGCTTCTCCAATATCAATAGTTAAAGTATGCTAAGAAATTATGTTTGTTTTTGATTTTAGAATCAGTTTTCTGGAAAATTTTCAAAAAAACTAAAATCTAATTTGGTGAAACAAATGAACAAATACAAAAACTCATCATTCTTGTGATTTTATCTTTTTTGTGGTAGGAAATATTTTTTTAAAATTTGAAAATATGTTTTTGGTGGTTATTTTTTGCCAAAACTAATTTTCATTTTTTCAAAAAGAATTCTGAAAATCAAACCAAACAAAAGTGTTCTTGATCATTATTGCCAAGATTAATGTATTTGTAACCTTGTTGCAGTGTGTCTGTTGAGAAATTTCCTAAAAACCCAATGCTCGGTGAGCGCGAGATTGTTAATGGGAATGTGCATTGTCCAATAATCCTCTGCTATTGTTTCACTCATGTTTCTCTTCTTTTTGTGTTGTATGTATACATATGCTTATGTGAATGTAATTTTAGTTTTCCAATTCTCTACAGGCTGGTAAATATGTGTGGTTAACTTATGAAGTAGTTATATGAAATAGTATTGAAGGTTGGAGCTTCCATCCGTAGTTGTGGTATCAAGCAAGTAAGTTTATTTTGCTTTGTCGCAATTCAGAAGTTACATTAGCTAGTGCAAGCAATTATAGATGTTAGCTCTTGTAATTGAGGCTAAATTTGAGCTTCGCCATACCATGGCGCAATTTCATTCCAACTAATTCTTCATTGGTTTAAATTGATACTTTGCTTCAAAGTTTCATGCTAACTCTACCGTCTAATTACTTATAAAGGGTGCAAGATATGGAATCTACGGTGCCAACTGCATGAAATGGATCATAAGTATGCAGGTAAAGTACCAATACACCTACCAAAGAGTTGGTTTTTGTTCCAAATACAGTGCTATGACCTTTTACATTTTTCTTCTACTGTCTCCCTCTTTGTCTGTGTGGAAGTGCTAGGTTATGTATTTCTGTAACAGTAGAGTTCTAGATGAGTGAAACTAGAAAATGATTCTTTTGAGTTTTGAGCTCTAAATTCAAGTAGCCCATTCATCATGATATGTATATAAAAGCATATTTTGTGATATCTTTCATAGTGTAAGGAAAATTTTATCATTTAGATATGAATGAAGTTTGATACTCAGCTGATATATTAATTTGGCATTTTAGCAGTCTAATAGTTTTTTACATTTCTACAGGCCTTCAATGCCCATGGACTATACTGTGTTCCCTTATATGACAGTTTAGGTACGCTGTTTCCATGCTTCTGGTGTGAATTTGAATTTGAATAATAAGGGATTAACTGGTCATTATAGAATGAATGTGTTTTAGACGTCATGTGGCCTTAATATGGGTGTATATGTCATGTGGGCTTATAAATGGTGTTAGTGATCTTATTTTTATCTAATCATGGTTATTTTGATACTTGTCCAACATGGAAAAAATTAAACAAAGGCCAAAAGGATTGTGTTTTGCTGCATAGACATGGTGTATAATTTTTATTCTAAAAACATAATTATCTCTGCTAAAACTGTAATTTGTCCATTGATAAGGATCAGAGATGGCATTGAAATGGGTTCAGTACATGTTGGGTCATTCTGTTATTTTGCTACGTTTCTAGGTGCTGGTGCAGTGGAATATATCATTTGTCATGCTGAGATTTCACTTACCTTTGTAGAATTTTAAGATTCTCATATATATTCACTTTGTTTACACACCTGGTGGCAACTAAGTCCCAAACTCTTTTTTGTTTTATAAAGTGTCTATTTACTTCAATGCCCTTCTTGACACATGATTTTCAAGGAAAAGAAAAATTCATTTATGCCCTTCTTGTTTGTTTCTGAATGCTACATTTATTTCATGCATTTCAATAGGAAATCTCTAAAGCATTTGGGAGGTTTACTAATGCTGCGCAAGAAGCTCTCTATCGGCTATTTATTCAGGTATGTATTTTGTTTCCTGACTTTTATTGCGTTTTTTATATTTTTTGAGTCTTTTCAGATGTTTAATTCAATGCTTTATGTTATCATCTTGTCAATGTTATAGGTTTTGTTGGTGAGCTGCATCCTGACAAGAACAGTGATAACAAAAAGCATGTGCTTTACACACATAAAAACATTATTGTAAAATACAAGAATCAGGTCCTTTGCTTATGAATCATTTGATTTTGAGAATTGTAAATTCAATTTTTGAATATGTTATTTTGTGAGTAATGTTAAAACATCATTTGTGGATATGTTATGTTATGGGTAATGATGATTGGATATTAAATTGAATGGGAAAGTGAATTAATGTTACATTTACTATTTGAATGGAAGTTATTATTTCATATTAGTGCTATTCAATTTTATTAAAGGTATTTTTTTTAGTTCAATCACATACAACTAGTACAATTTTTTTTAAAAAAAAGAGAGGATATCATGGCGTTTTGAGAAATGCCACCTAAACTCTAAAGCTAACGGTCAGTTTTTTAAAAAAGATAAGACGGCGTTTTGAAAACGTCGCTAAATCATAGTGATGTCAAAATGCTGATAGTGTAGGACATTTTGCAGCGTTTTTAAAAATGCTGCCTATACTAAATATAGCGACGCTTTTAAAGCGTCATAAAGCTATGGCGATGGCCGCATCTTCGACGTTTGGTACTAAACGCTACAAAAACAATTAGCGGCATTTTTGATAGCTATAGCGGCGTTTTTAAAACGCCACTAAAAGCCTAATTTCTAGCAGTGTCAATTTGGCTAAATTTTTGCAATTACTCTTTCACTATTTAAGCTAAAAATAAAAAAATAAATATCAAATCGCTTGTTTTTAACTTGTTTCGCTGATAATACTTTTTTCAACAAGATTCCTTTTCATTTGACAACTACTAAAATATGACTGTTTTTGGAGAATTGTTTTAATTATATATATATACATATATATATATATATATATATTTACTTTACATGCGCTTCAATTAATTAATTTTTTTTTGAAAATTTTTATAAGAAATCACTAAAGACACAGACATATAAAACATATCACCTTACAAACCTCTCAATAACAACAACAACAACAAAAAAAAAAAAGAAAGAAAAAAAAGAAGACACTATTTTAATATTTAACAAACACATTAATTTCTTGGACACTTAGTCGATAAATCCAAATGTAAATTTTGTTTGATCAAAAGTATATATTCTAAAATACTTTATTCATAAGGACATGCTTAAACGAAATGACTAAAATATCCATATATATATTGTATATGGTATACACAGTGGAAATAATTGCTCTTCTCTCTTCCTCTTCTCTCCTCTTGTTCTCTCTCTTTCTCTCTCCCCTCTCCTCTCCTCTCGTTTGCTCCAATCTGAACCCTAACTAATGATCCACTGCCATTGTCTCAAGATCCGTTGTCTCATTTGCTCTGGCCAGATCCGTTTTCTTCTCCTTCGATTTCTTTATTCTTTTCATCATCATCATCATCATCATCATCGTCGTCGTCATCAACATCTTTATCATAATTTTCTGACGTTGTTTTTGTATCATCCAATTTCACCACTGATGCGCCGAAGACGATCTCCTCTTGGATGACTCGCTTGTCTTTGTCACTGCCAAGGTCACCACTATATCCTCTCTTCTCCAACCTCGAGTCGTCATTTATAATGGTGTCTGTCATCTCTACTACAAAGGTACTATTGGAGATGACATCGGAGGAGGATGAGAAGTTGTGGTGGTGGTGTTGTTGCCTCTTCCATGTGTCTCTCTCTATCTCTATCTGGGGTTTTCATGGGTCTCTCTCTCTCTTTAGGGTTTCAAAATATCTATACAAATTACAACAGAGAATCTGATCCAGAATTTGACTATCTGTTCAATTATTTTATTTTATTTTATTTTGATATGGCTTGTTGTTGTTGATGATCAGATTATTTGTTTTTTTCTTTGTTGTTGTTGTTGTTGATTGCAACAAATAGTAGCTTAGTAATTCAATTTTGTTGATAATGGCTTCGTATATTTCAATAGATCACTAAACGATCTCATTCATCTACTTTCCTCTTCTTGTTGTTGTTTGATGATTCGTGTTGACAGGATGATGATCTTGATATGCTTTCCTCTTCTTCTTAATATTATCGTTATTGTTATTTTGGATCTGCAATTTGATTCTTATGCTTGTAAATAACACTATATTTTAACGTATCTCTTATCTCCAAATCTGAGCCTCATTTTTGAAGAAAGAATTTGGACCAAAATTGTGCACCCTCTGCTTAGAAACGGGCACAAAGTTCTGCCCCCCTTGGTTCAAGAATCGGAGCATAATTCTGGTTTCTTTGTTTTGGAACTGGAACAAAATTATACCCTCTTTGTTCAGGAATGGGCGCAAAGTTCTGCCCCTTTGGTTCAACAATCAAACTGTAATTCAACTTCCTCTATTTTGGAGTAGTGAATAAAGGGTTGACTTCTGACCATCCTCGTTCGAATTGAGGTGGACCGCTCTACAAAGGTCTAAGACCAACTCTTTGGAAGTTCTGTAGATTCTGGTTCTGAAGGTTCTGGTTGTGGAAATTTTGGTATGGAGTGCCCTAATACTGTAGATTCTGTGGGTTCTAAGGGTTTGGAGGAATCTAGTCGTCCTTAATCTCGAACGGTTGAAACCCAAGAAGTTGCCCCAAGTCTTAATGCCTTGCCCCCTTTGTTCAATGTCTTGTCCTCCATGTCCCCCGGGAATGGGGTTATTGGAATAAAAGGCTTGAAAAACTCCTAAAGGTGGTGGTTTATCAGCAACTATCTTGCCTTGAAGATTCTGCTAAGCAATGGGATTAAAAATTTCTGTTGTTGGTAGAATTGGAGTCTGTAGAAGAACTACAGAAATCTTGTCTTCCAAAGTCACCATCATTTGGCAATTGCTTGCATCAGATCTGTCTAGGATTGCCTCATTTC